TAACACGAATATGAACATGATACACATGATGGAGCTGATTAAGTTATCTGAGTATCACAACCGTCTACCGAGTCTAGAAAGCTTTCTTACCGAACTGGAAGACATTGGGCGGATTGAATGCACTCTAAAATGTTTGATAAACAAGCTTGCATGTGCAGGAATTTTCTACAACGCCTTGACCAAATATTGTAAACTACCAACGAATCATCATACTGGATCAATTGTCTACAATGTTCAATCTGGTTGGGAGTTTTGGAAGAATATCAGTAAGATTTATTTTATCATTGAATTGGTAGAGTTAATTTTATAATTGGTTCCCCCTATTTAGCAAAATTTCTAGGAGGATGCTCACTCCTCCATGGCACCTGATCTCACCTCCGATGTTTCGGAGGCCCTTGGTTGCTCTGATCCTATTTTGAATTGTTTAATGGACTTTGATATTGATTGCTGTTCGTTATCCAGGCTTTTTGATATCATTGACAGCTGCTTCTTAAAAAAAATGGAACTCGTAAATTTACTTACCTCGTCATTGGCCATTTGCAAAATTATTTCGTGAAAACAGATTCTGATTGCACACATAAGTACTCTGAAGTTGACATCAAGAAGATGCTTGAGTTTCTGATTGACAATATCTATGTGGTTTTTGGAGGTTAGGTATTCCAACAAACTATTGGAATTCCCATGGGTACAAATTGCGCTCCGTCATTAGCAGACTTATTTTTATATTCATATGAAGCAGAATTTATGCAAAATCTTATGCGTTAAAAGAAGAAAACACTTGCTTTGGCCTTCAACTCGACATTTAGATATATCGATGACGTATTGGCAATTAATAATGATTATATCAATTCATTCGTCGATACGATATATCCTGGTGAGCTTGAGATCAAAGATACCACAGAGTCCGACACTTCTGCTTCATATTTGGATATTTTACTTGAAAAAGACACTAATGGTAATCTAACAACTAAGCTATATGATAAACGTGATGACATTAATTTTTCTATCGTCAACTTCCCTTACTTATGCAGCAATATACCTTCATCACCTGCATACGGAGTATATATATCTCAATTGATTCGATACGCAAGAGCATGCTCTACGTATGAACAATTTTTTAAACGAGGTAAAATATTGACAGGCAAGTTGATGAAACAAGAATATCAGCAGTCTCGTTTAAAGTCATCATTTCGTAAGTTCTATGGTCGATACAATGACCTTGTCAGCAAATACAATTTATCATTGAGTCAAATGCTGACTGACGTTTTTCATACCAATTGTTAGTCCATTATTTATACACTGAATGGCGGTGGATTTTTTTCCATTATTTCCTGAACATGACAACAAGCACACAGCGGGTGTGACCGTTCGGCAGGGGATGCTCACTCCTCCATGGCACCTGATCCCACCTCTGATGTTTCGGAGGTCCTTGTTTGCTCTGCTCTGATTTTGTATATTGTTTAATGGACTTTGAGATTGAATGCTGTTCGTTATCTCCATATCATTCTACAATATATTTCTGAAGAAAAACATATAAACGTCTTAGAATTCACATTGTAATGGTTCCAATCATATCTTTATGAGACATTTAAGAGAAAATTGGCCTATCCTCGATTTCATTCAAAATCTCTTTATTGATGAGTTTTGAATAATCTGCAAAATCATAATTACCACAATCGCTAATGATTAAAAGTAATTATTTATTTAGTTACAATTGAATGTTATCTTTAGAGTTTGTCATTCACCTTAAAGAATGAAATGGCCAATAAAGCTAAAAAGAATTAAGAGGTTCTTGAACTGATGACACTAATTGTCTACCAAAAAAAGATACAACGCTCTGTGTTGTGAATAAATAAAAAAGAGATAAACCTCAACAACACCCTTATCTTTAGAAAAAATCTAAATTATTACCTCTTTCTCTTTTAAAAAACTAAAACATTTAAGTTTAACCAATTCAAAAGTTAAAGATGAAGTGTAAATTCATATGAATGCCAATCACTGGAGATAAAATAAAATAAATTTTTTTCTAAAAGATACAATTGAGGGTACCTTATACAGGTACATAGAAAATATTAACAAGAACAAAGGTTTTGGAACAATGTAATTAATATTGTGAATCTTTTCTTTACTATTTAAGGTTGTGACCCCGGCTGGCGTTATTATTCAGACCACTGCTATTTAGTCAGTCAGGAACAAACGTCTTGGCATGAAGCTAAGGTAGGTAGACATAAATTGAAAAAAAAATATTCCTTTAATATCACCAAAAGTGTGAGTTTCCAAAAATCGATATTAAGGTGTGTCACTCGTCAACATTTTAGAAAAGTTCAGGCACAACTTATTACTTCAAAACTATTTTATTATAATTCAATTTTTATGACATATTTGACTTAAACAATGTAAATTGTTCAACCTTCAATGAAAAAACTTGAAATTCACAAAGAAGCAAATTTTTATTTAATTTTGTGGGAGGATATTTATCGGAAAATTCTGCAAATCTTCACATTTATTCAATTTAATGTCTTAAAACTTTATTCTCACATACTTTATCTCAGAGAATATTTTCTGCTATGATCAATATGCTAGGAATTTTAAATATGGGTCTCATTCATAACTCATATTCATAACTCATAATTTGATAAAAAAAAATATCCTATTGCCTATCTTGACTTTTAACACCCCAGATTTGCCACTTTTTTAGTTTAAAAAGGTCACAAAATAATTAACATTAATTTGCAATATTATTCAAACTATTTAGTAAAATAAAAAAGTTATACCCACTGCACACTGGCCCCTACTTTTCTGCGATTTTAAGTCATACTACATGAATACTTTTCATAAATCCTTCATCTATCAAATTTCAAGAATGACATACCTTAAACATTTCCATTTGAAATTCCAATACAATATATTTTTAATGAATATATACCAAGGGTGTATAATATATTTTTGTCAACAATATTATCTCACTTAATTTTTTGAATCGATTAATAATATATGTTTTATATTTTCATCAATATTTTGCCTTTTTTCTCCCTTTGTTTTGCCACGCGCACATAGTTTCAATGTGAAAGTAATGGAGCGTTCCTGGCTGATATCAACTCTGCCGAGGAGAACACATGGATTACAGACAAACTCATTGGTCTGTATTTTGGTTGTTTGTATTTAACGAGAGAATTATCTATTATCTAGAGAATTTTTCACTTTTATGAAAAACGCCACCACTTACTTGCCGGTGAAGATTTGCAAATTTTTACTATCCAAATATGAAGATTATATTTCTCGAAAGGACGCTAATGAAACAAATCTCAATTAAAATCTCGACTCAGTTGATAAACCTATCTTAAAACGTTTTCTTTTTGTAAAACTTAGAATTCCAAGGGTGAACATCAATATCACTATAAATCTCTGCACATTATAAATATCGTATATCTGTTTATTAAGAAGACGTCTTTATTTCTAGATAACCAAACCTGGTCAGTTATTACTCACCACGTATGGATTGGTGCAAATGATATTGACAAAGAGGGCGTCTTCATCTGGAGTGAGATGAATTCTACTCTGAATTTTTCGAATTGGAATCAGGAAGAACCAAATGATGATCTTGAGAAGACTGTGTGGCAATTATTCAAGAAAGAGGATTGTGGAACGATTTACCTTGTTCATTGAAATGCAGTTACATTTGCAAGAAAATAAATTAATTGAAGTGTTTGTAAATGAATAAAAAAATCTTTTACACTAAGATAAAAGTTACCCTGCTTTAGACACTTTGACGTTATAATCCATGTGTCATAAGGCGACACAACACATTATATAGCAAGAGGCCCACGGGCCTTATAGGTCACCTGAGCATTCTGCAACAACTTTCCAGTTATTGAATTTGATTCATGTTTTAAGCCAGATGCTATATGGCATTCACAATTTTGAAAGAGGCACCATTGATCATCATAACAATACACTTAGCAGTTGCTTAGCTTGGTTTATTGATTTAAATATGCCCAATAATAAGTTCATAGGATCTTCATGAACGTTTCATGAACATTTCATGAATAAAATTCATGAAAAATTCAAGGTAATTCATGAATTATTCATGATCACCTCGCAGGGGTACTGAATACCCATACGCAAGGTAGGGGGGAAAAATGCATTCCAACTAATCAGTAATATTCAGCAATAATCAGTAATGCCCCTAACACTGTGAAATAAACCCCTGACCCTAGGTCCACACATTGCACAAATTTTAAAAAGGCACCGTTAAAATTGCCTATCAAAAAATAAATAAATGTTTTATAAATACAAAGGAGCAGATTTCAAACAATTAATTCATTTTCAGTATATAAGTAGAGCCCCACATCCACCCCTGACCCTGGGGCCTTGAAATTCAAAATTTTGCAAGATTAGGGCCCTTGCTCATCATAACTATTTAGGTAGTACATCTGCTTCATACCCAGAGACAGAGAAGAAAATTTTCAAAGATTTAATGTATATTCACTATATAATCAATAGAGCCCCCCCCCCCACCCCCACACACCAGAACCCCTGACCCTGGGACCATAAAATTCACATTTTGGTAGAGGCACTCTTGCTAATCATAACTATGTACTTAGTTAGTTTATTTAATACCTAGGAGCAGAGAAGAAGATTTCAAAGAATTTATGTATTTTTACAATATAATCTATAGAGCCCCCCACCCCCCCAACACCAGAAGCCTTGACCCAGGGACCATAAAATTATTCACAATTTTGGTAGAGGCACTCTTGCTCATCATAACTATGCACTTAGTTAGTTTATTTAATACCTAGGAGCATAGAAGGAGATTTTCAAAGAATTTGTGTATTTTCACTATATAATCAATAGAGCCCCCCCCCCTAACACCAGAACTCTTGGCCCTGGGGCCATAAAATTCACAATTTTGGTAGAGGCACTCATGCTCATCATAACTATGCACTTAGTTAGTTTATTTAATACCTAGGAGCATAGAAGGAGATTTTCAAAGAATTTGTGTATTTTCACTATATAATCAATAGAGCCCCCCCCCCCAACACCAGAACTCTTGGCCCTGGGGCCATAAAATTCACAATTTTGGTAGAGGCACTCATGCTCATCATAACTATGCACTTAGTTAATTTATTTATATCTAGGAGCAGAGAAGAAGATTTTCAAAGAATTCATGTATTTTTACTATATAATCTATAGAGCCCCCCCCCTACCAGAACCCTTGACCCTGGGGCCATAAAATTCACAATTTTGATAGAGGCACTCATGCTCATCATAACTATGCACTTAGTTAATTTATTTAATATCTAGGAGCAGAGAAGAAGATTTTCAAAGAATTCATGTATTTTTACTATATAATCTATAAAGCCCCCCCCCCTACCAAAACCCCTGACCCTGGGGCCATAAAATTCACAATTTTGATAAAGGCACTCTTGCTCATCATAACTATGCACTTAGTTAGTTTATTTAATACCCAGGGGCAGAGAAGAAGATTTTCAAAGAAATCATGTATTTTCAATGTATATAATCAAGAGAGCCCCGCCCTAACACCAGAACCCCTGACCCTGGGACCATAAAATTCACAATTTTGGTAGAAGCACTCTTGCTCATCATAACTAACTACTTAGTTGGTTTATTTAATACCCAGGAGCAGAGAAGAAGAATTTCAAAGAAATAATGCATTATCACTACCTACTTATTTAGCCCTGCCCTAGCACTAGAACCCCTGACCCCAGGGCCATGAATTTCACAATTTTGGTAGAGGACTCAATGCTGATTACAATCATGCAAACAGTTTGACTGCTTGATGTCCAGGAGTAAAGAAGAAGATTTTCAAAGATTGCATTAATTTTAGTTGTTTTGGCCCCACCCCTCAGGCCCCAGGGGGGCAGGGATCATGAAATTCACAATTTTTGTTCCCTTTCACCCATAGATGCTTTGTGCCAAATTTGGTTGAAATTGGTTCAGTGGTTGCAGAGAAGAAGCTGAAAATGTTCGAAAGTTTACGAACGACGTACGACGTACGACGAACGACGACGGACGAAAACAGATAGCAATAGGTCACCTGAGTTTACTCAGGTGACCTAAAAAAATGTTAAACAAAATTTGTTTATTTATGCATAATATGTATTTGAAGTTTGCTAGGTATTTGATAAAAAAATGTACGAGGGTTGATCCAAAAGTAATATCACAGTGTCCATATCTTTTATATTTGGCGTCATATTATCAATTATTATGCTTCCTATCAGTTTCTCTCTATATAACCCATTCCCAACTATTCTCTCAATGTGTTCTAAGGATTTATATAGCGTAAGCATACTATGCTGAAATAGTGCTCGGCTACTATTTCTGAAGAAAATCCGACGGCGCCCATACCGGAGCGCGAGCTCGCGACCCCGAGTTTGTCAGTCCGACACGCTACCGATTACGCCACAGACACCGTTATCTGTAGTATTGTATTATAATATATATAAACTTAGTTTCAAGTAGTTTATAATTAAAATTAAAAATAAACAAAATAATTCTTCTAAAATAGTTTCTTGCAACCCCCTTCCTTCACTCAAATAATATTCTCTAAAACTCTCTGTACATTGTACCTAAAGCATGGAGTGTTCAAAATTAAAGAAAAAGATTATGACGTACATGTTGCACAAGGTGACGTCATAATAGAGTAGACGAATGTTACAGATGATGAATCATTGGGAATGAAGAAAATATTGCCGTTTTTATACAGTAACAACAGTCAGCATAATAATAACAATAGTGTTGTGTTTTGCGTGCACTATGCCTAAATAGTAGTCAGTGTTTGACACATAGTGCCTCCGGCTCGTGCACCATGTGTCAAACCCTGACTACTATTTAGGCATAGTGCACGCAAAACACAACACTATTATATAAATACAATATACCAAAAGATGCACAAATATAAATCTAATTGACATTGAAATTTTGATTTAATAATGTTTATTTGAATTTATTTTATAGATGTTTAAATCATAGAGCATAGGGGGTGTCGCCGCGTACAACGGAAAGATTCTAAAAAAGCACCTAATCTCCCAATTTTTTAAAGACACAATTCTCGTCATTTTCTAGTCTTTGATTGAAAATTAAATGACGTCATTGGTATATTTGTGATCATAAACATTGTTGTTTAAATCTGTTGAATTGAACAAAGGGATTGTCGAAATGGGGAAAAAAGGCTCGACGAGTTGTAATGCATTTTTGCTTCAAAATATGGGAATCATCACTAGCGACATTTTCGTTAATCAATCAGACTTACAGAATAAAGAATGTAAATAAGAGACATCTTGATAGATGGTTTCAGCAATACAAGAAGACCGAAAGAAAGAAGATGGACGGAAACTTTCAATGGTGTCTGATGTTGTAAACAAAAAGACAGACATATAGAGTGAAATGTGAATTTTTAAGTTTGTCTCATGCTACTGTTCAAAAAATTTTGACAGAGGGCTTAATTTTGAAATGAGTGAGTGTAAAATGGAACCAAGAATTCTTAAAGAAAGTGGAATTTGTGACAGTGTTTGCGAATCACAAATAATTTTTAATGAAACGAAGGAGAAACGCTTAAAAGTATGACGGTGTGTATCCGTCATATGACGTTATGTTTAGGTGCAGCGACTACCATAAACGCGCATTATTTAAAATTCGAATTTTTTAAAAGTATACATCATATTCCTTTGAATTTTTCAGATCTGATTTGAAATAAAGCTTTTATCATGTATAATTTTGTTGCTTTACGTCGATTTAAAGCAATTTTATACAAGTTGTGACATTACTTTTGGATCAACCCTCGTACTTCATAGTAGTGTAATTCTTACTTTTTCTTTTTATCTAATTTAATGCCAGATGCCATTTGCCTTACGTCATGGATTCGACTCCCACTGCGGGACATGGAGATCAGCCCTTTATTCAGATTGAGATCCCGTGTCACAGTAATTGCTAGCGAGAAAATATCTCTCTCTGCTCAAAATTTTATTCTCGAAATGGACGTTAAACAAACAAAATCACTCATGCAACTATCTTTCAGTACTCACAGTACTCTGATTATTCTTGTTCTCATATCGTAAAAACAATTTCAATTATTAATGAAATTTTAAAACAATGAAAAATAGAATTAAATTTATAAAAGATGATATAAACCATATCATTTGAAAATATAACTTCCATGAACTTTTAGATCTCAGAAATGTCGTTTCTCAGAGCGGGGGATTGACATCGACTTAATTATACGCCTTCATTCTGAATTATTAAATCAACCCGATTGCAAACGATTATTTACGATCGACATCGCCTTGTGCGCCTCCATTCTGACTAATTAAATCAACTCGATTGCATACGATTATTTACATCAATTGTGGATTTCATTTAAATTCAACAACTGTTATCATCTCTTTTGTTATCTGAAATCAATGTAATCAAAGTAAATGCATTTTTCTACCTCTGCTGTGTGTTAAATTTCGTTGTATTGAGAGCCCCGATTAATTTACCCACCAACCCCCATCTACTATCCCAACCACCGATCCAGCCCCCCACCCCAACCCCTACCCCCAAAACACGATATTTCACAGTATTTATGTCATGCA